GGTGGGGGGGGTGGGGAGGTCACGAGCCCCTATGTCTTTGCTTTTCCCTACCCCAGCCCCGGTCCCTCAAGCCTGCCGTTCATTACTCCCCGCAGACATGTTGGCACGGGAGGCACAGTTTGTGGTGACCATTGGAAATGTCAGGGGGGTGATGGATACCTCTATCTTGGACCCGGAGCCGGGACCTGATGGCCCCTTCATCAGCTACAGCTATTATGTGACCTATGACTTCGTGGAGGACGAAGAAGGCGAAAGGAACGCCTTCGCCAGCGCCATGGCCGAGATGCAGCCTGACAGTGTTCTGGCTGAGGTATGGCCTGCCAATCTGGGGGGGCGGCGTGGGCTCCACACAGGCCTGCATGCTTTTGTGTGCACACGGAACAGCTTTTTAGCGCCCCACCCCAAAAAATCTCCAACACAGCATCATGCTTCTCCTCCATTCAGGGACCTGGTTTCCGCCTGCTCGCCCCTTCCCCAGGCAGAGTGAGTCTCAGCCACGCTCACCTCCTGCCCCTGTGAGACCTCAGGAAGCAGAGCAGACTTTTCCCCTCAGGCCCGTTGTCCCTGGCCCACTCTACAAAGTCTCCCTCCCGACCTCTGCATCTCAGGCAAACCCAAGGACACCACGTGGGTGGAGAGGCCTGTCCGCTCTGTCCAGATGGCCTTTGTCTCTGCCTCCTAAGCTGGTGTGTCGGATCATGCTTTAAGCTGGTGTAGGGCTGGGATATGGCCAGATGTGCTCCATCTCCAGCACCACAGATCCATAAGGTACCCAGACGTTCGCCCGCGTCCACACTCATTGCGGCATGTTTGTCTCTGCTAACAGATCGAGCCCTCCTCCAGCACCGTGCAGTTAGATGAGGAGGGTCACGAGGAGGGCCAGCAGGAGGACCAACCTGAGGTTCTGTTGGCGGGCCGCCCCGCCGGGCCCCAGCGCCCAGCCCGCCAGGGCCCGGTCCGCCAGCCCCGCCCGGGGGGCCGTCAGAAGACTCGCCAAGAGTCTCCCAAGGACATGTCCCAGGAGATGTCTGAGTTTATAGCTGAGATGAATCTGATGGCCGAGGACTCCGGAGAGTCTGGGATAACGGATATGGAGGAGTCGGAGACGACCATTTCCATCCGCTCTGCCCCGCTGCCGCAGTCCATTGACTCTTCCGAAGAACTGTCAAAGCTGCGGCCACGCATAGATGCGCGGCTCTGTCCGTCCCCAGGGTAAGGGTAGAAGGCGGATGGGCAGGCGGGGCATCCGTGGTGGCCGCCAGCCAGGGCTGCTCTTGCAGCGTCTCCTGAGCTGTCCGACGGCTGAGCCACAAGCTACCGAGGCTGGGCCTTCTCATTAGCCCGCCCGTAGGCTGTGAGCTAGAGGTAGATTTGGGCTTAGCCACAGACCCTTCTTTTCTGGAGCCCCAACCTTCCCCCTCAGTACAACGGAGCTCCAGATGCCTGGGCGTGGGGGGTAAAATTCTTTGAAAGATCGACTCTCCTGTCAATGGAGAGGACACGGGACAGCTTCCATCTCAGCTACTTTTTTTTTTTGTTTTTTTTGTTTTGAGACAGGGTTTCTCTGTGTAGTTTTGGTGCCTGTCCTGGATCTCACTCTGTATCCAGGCTGGCCTCGAACTCACAGAGATCCGCCTGCCTCTGCCTCCCGAGTGCTGGGATTAAAGGCGTGCACCACCGCCGCCCGGCTGGAATTGGATTCTTATAGCTTTTCTTTTAAGAACAAAACAAACAAACAAAAACACCAAATGTGATTACTTTCTGTGTATGAGTATTTTGCCTGCATGTACGTAAGTGTACTGAATATGTGTCTAATGCCTGAGGAGTCCAGAAGGATCCAGGATCCTCTGGAATTGGAGTTACCACTGGTTGTGAACTGCCATGTGGGTGCTGGGAACCGAACCTGGGTCTTCTGCAAGAGCAGCAGCCGGTGCTCCTAAGCTCTGAGCCGTCTCCCCAACCCTGTTAGCTTTTCAATCCATCTGGGATGTGTTCATAGAAAATGTAGCAAGGGCCCTCGGTTCCAGGCACTTACGTTCTTTGTTTTCCGAGAGGCTGAAGCAATGGCCCTCCTGCCACTGGACAAGCACTCTATGGTAGGGCCCCCATCCCTAGCCCTGCTTCACTTTGTGCTTGGATACAAAGACTCACTAAGTTTCCTAGGCCGGCCTCAAACCTGTGATCCTCCTGAGAGCTCAGCCCCTGAGTAGCTCAAATTCCAGGTACCACCAGTCCTACCAAGCAGGTTTTTGTTGCCTAGTACACCCAATTTTTATGTGTGAGCACGCACGCACGCACGCATGCACGCACGCACACAAACACATCTTGGTATGTATCCCAGTGATGGATTTCCTGCTGGCTTTCATAAGAATGCAGGAAACAATGTGGCTATTTAAACACAATGTGGCTGAGCTCTGATTCACAGGCTTTGACCTTTCATGGGCTTTGCCACTCTGCACTCTTGGGGAGTGAGAGGTTAGCTTCTAAAATGGGCTGTAAGAGTTGTTGGGCTTGTTCCTGCTGGGAGGGAGTCTCGGTGTCTGCAGAGCATCCCTAGGACCCAGCTGCACCGAGTTTAAGCCTCGGCTGAGTACCGGATCTAAGTTTGCAGAGATCCCGGGAGTCGGGGTTGCCTGGATCCTGGGGCCTCCGCTCCCAGTGTTGATGGAGATGTCCTGATTCCACTGCCCTGAAAGAAGCAGGGATGGACTCAGCTGACTGTGTCAAGAGGGGGGTCCCCGCTGAGTCATTTAGTTTCGACGCTGGGAATTGAACCGGGATCTCCTGTAGTCTATGCTGCTCGTCAGGGCTCAAGCTGAGGAATTTTCATCACTGCTTTTTTACTTGGAGGGAATATTAGTAAGAGAGGGTAAGCGGCTGGGTGTGTTGGCCGACACCCTTAATCCCAGCATTTGGAAGTCAGAGGCAGGCGGATCTCTGTGAGTTCGAGGCCAGCCTGGTCTACAGAGTGAGTTCCAAGACAGCCAAGGCTACACAGAGAAACCCTGTCTCAAAAACAGAGAGAGAGAAAGAGGGTGAGCATGGTGATACATGCTTGTAATCCTAGTTTAGGAAGCTGAGGCAGGAGGATTGTGAGCTTGAGGTCTGCTTGGGCTATATAATGAATGTCTCTGAATGAGTGAATGAATGAATGAATGAAGAGGCATGTGGGGAAAGTCCAGAGGAAATCAGGCCCAGGCTTTAAGCTTCTAAGAGTCCAGTCTTAGTAGAGTCATGCTGGGGTCACACAGTAGGTCAGCAAGCTGTGACAGTTCTTGAGAAATTATGTCTTATGGAGAAGCTTGCCTAAGCCAGGCGGTTCTGTTTTCACTGGAATCTGGTCACATGGGCACCCATTACCTGACATCTACAATTCCACACTGTGCAGACTGTCCAGACCCAGTGAACTCTGACCAGTTAGAGAGTGGTGGGAACCTTTCAAAGCCCAAGTGCTTAGGTTGGGAGATGACTCAGTGGGTTGTGGGGGAGCAGCCCCTGCCTTTTTACCCCAGGGTACTCTTGAGGAGAGAGGGATAAGAGATTTAGATAGAAGGATAGAGGGGAGAGAAAAAGACAGAAACACAGGATAGCCTCGGGAGGGCCTGTATCCTTATCCACCGGCCCAGAACTTTATTCAGCAGGGCTTTTTATAACAATGCCAAGGGGTGAGGCAAAAGACCTCCCCCTTGCAGATACAGCCAAGTGCAGACCCTTCCAAACACCTGGTACCCAGGCCCGTGGTCCAATCATCCTCTGATGCAGCACTGGTTGGTAAAGCAAGCATAGATCTCACCAGGAAACCTCTGTGGGCTCCCACAGTAGGTGTAGCGCTTGCCACATAAACACGTGACTGCGTGTGTTGTATGGGCACCCACAGAAGTCACAAGCAGGAGTACATCTCTTGGAGCTGTGATTACAAGTATGTGTGAGCCATGCAATCGTGGGTGCTGGGATCTGAGCCTGGTCCTCGGATAGAGCAGTAGGTGCTCTTACGTGCCAAATCAGCCCTCTAGCCACTTAATATGAATTTTGATGAAAGGAAGGTTTGTTGTTGTTGTTGGTTTTTTTGTTTGTTTTGTTTTTCAACACTGGGTTTCTCTGTGTAGCCCCTGCTGTCCTGGATCTCGCTCTGTAGACCAGGCTGGTCTCACACTCAGAGATCCGCCTGCCTCTGCCTCTGGAGTGCTGGGATTAAAGACATGGGTCACCACACTGGCAATATTGGTAAATCTTGAGGACATTCTGCTTAATGAAATAAGCCAATCACAAATGATTAATAAATACTGCATGTTTCCATTTTTATGATTTTTAGTCAAACTCATAGAGATTGGAAAAAAAAAAAAAAAAAAAAAAAAAAAAAAAAAAAGGATGGCAGTTGCCAAGAGCTGAGGGAAATGAAGATTATTATTTAATAATATCAAGCTTCATTGTACAGGAGTCTAGGAAGCATGTTAGGAATCCGCACCAGTGAAGTGTGTACTGGAAGATCATGAAGCCGTGCTGGGGGAGGCCCAGGCTGTTGTACTTGTTCTAATGTACAAGATCCTGAGTTTGATCCCCAGTAGTGAAGAAGAAGAAGAGGGAGGAGGAGGGAAAGGAGGAAGAGGAGGAGGAGGAGAGAAAGGAGGAAGAGAAGGAGGAGGAGGGAGCCAATAGCAAAGACAATAAAGATCTTGTGAGTCCTATACCTGTTGTCTCAGCTACGCAGGAAGCGGAGGCCGGAGGATTTTAACCCAGGAATCTGGGAGCAGCCACAGCAACCTATCTAGACCCCTGGAAGAAAACCAGTGTCCAGGGTGCCGTGGAGAAGAGCCTGTGTGGGCCACTGCCATGTGGGCCTTCTGTAGGCGACTGCTAGGTTCACTTAGCTTACAGGGTTGTTCAAGTTTCCTGTGTTACCCCATTGTTGAAATGAGGGTTTGTTACTTCGTGGATTTATTTATGGGAGCCCGGGACAAGCCGTGAAGCACATGTGGGTCCCAGAGGCAGAACTCAGATAGTCAGGCATGGTGGCAAGCTGCTCTACTCACTGGGCCATCTTGCCAGTCCGGAAATACAGTTTTGAAGTCTGTCCCAACATTGCTGAGTTGTTCATTTCTCCTGGCCAGTCTGTCCATTTTTTGGCTTCAGATATTTTTGTCTTTTTTTTTTTTTTTTAAGACAGGGTCTCATGTAGCCCAACCTAGCCTTGAACTTACTATGTAGCTGAGGCTAGCCTTGAATTCCTCAACTTCCTCCTCCTTCCTCCCAGATGCTGGGATTACAGGCATGTGCCACCACATCTGGTTTTGTGCAGTGCTGGAGATGGACCCAGGGCTTGGTGCATATAGGCAAGCAGTCTACCACGTGACCCACATGCTCAGCCCTCTGAGCCACTATGTGCCTGTACTCACATTTTATTTTAAAGTCTATTTTTTTCTGCTGTTTACTTAGTCACATGTCTAAACACAGCCCCATAAACACAGACTTGTGTTTATGATCCCCCCAACTTTGCTGGTTTTTTTTTTTTTGTTGTTTGTTTGTTTGTTTGTTTTTGGTTTGGTTTGGTTTTTGGTTTTTCGAGACAGGGTTTCTCTCTGTAGCTTTGGTGCCTTTCCTGATCTCGCTCTGTAGACCAGGCTGGCCTCGAACTCACAAAGATCTGCCTGGCTCTGCCTCCCGAGTCTGCCTCCCAAGTAAGGCGTGTGCCACCACTGCCCGGTGGTTTTGTTTTTTAAACTTTGGAGTTGACCATAGTGGTTACAGACCAACAATTCCAGCATTGAGGAAGTAGAGGCAGGGGGATTACTTCAAGTTTGAGGCCAGCACCAGCTATTTAGTGAGTTCTTGGCCAGCCAGGATTATAGAGCGAAACTTTCTTTCAAAAACAGAACCAAACAAAAACCTTTCTGTATTCTAGCTGGTGTGCCTCAGCTGTCCCACACTGAGCATGCCCAGAAGAGCGCCTCTGCTCTGTCCTTGATCGCCTCTTTGCCAATGTCCCTCCCTGGCCTTCTGGTTCCTTTGCCCTGCCCAGGTCTTGGTCCTCCACCATTTGTGGGTGCTTGCTGTCTTCTTGGGTGTCGCTTGGCAGCCTTGCCGCAGGTAGCCAGCCCAGCCCAGCCTGACCTTCACACCGCGTGTCTCTCACTCCCCAGGACAGTCCTCTTCAGCACCGTCCGAAAGCCCTGGACCGACGTCATTCCTTGCAACTATGAGATGAAGCATACCCTCAAGGAGCTGGTGCGGGTCAAGGCCTTCCTGCTGGCCGGGACCACCGTGACCATCGTGGAGGAGAAGGTGGGCGGAGCGGGGGGGGCTCTGGCCTCTCATTGGCTGGAGGGTTCTGGGTCCACATCCTTCCCGATGACCTTTTTCTCGCGGTGATCTCATACCCCTGCTCCCTCCGTAGTTGCCTGGCAGAGCCTTTCCAGAAGGGACAAGGTGGGGTGGGGCCCCAGTAGCCAGCCTCCCCTGCTCCCCTGAGGCCCGATCTCGTCTTCTAGATTCTCTCCTGGCCTGTGTTGCCAACCCCGGTCGAGAGTCCCTTGCCCGCCAAGAGTCCCTTGCCGGACAAGAAGGGGAAGGACGACAAGAAAGGGAAGGACGACAAGAAAGGGAAGGACGACAAGAAGGGGAAGGACGACAAGAAGGGGAAGGACGACAAGAAAGGGAAGGACGACAAGGGGAAAGGGAAAAAACAGAAGGCAGAGGAGGCGGCCAAGGTCGCGGTAAGGCCTGCTCAGGTCACCTCGGGCGGGGCCCGGGAGGGCAGTGCAGCCCAGTCCTGCTCACACCTGCGCTGGTGGCCCTGCCCACAGGATAAAAAGGCGCCCAAGAAGAAGAAGGAGCCGCCCCGGGAACTGCGCCAGGACCCGCCCGTGCTGCGCGTGCTGGGTAGCGGCCTGGTCTACCTGGAGCCCTTGCTGGCAGGGGAGACGGCGGTGACCACCGTGTGTAATTTCGGGGTGGTCCGCACCCTGGAGTCTGACAAGTTGACGAATGCCAGGGTACTAAGAGGCCCTTTATCTCGGCCTCCCCTTTTCCGGGCCTCCCCTCTTCCGTCCGTACGGACAGCTCAGCTCGCTGGGCCAGGCAGGGATGGGGTGAGGTCAGGAGGGGTGGGGTGGGGGTGGGGCCTGGTTGGATGTTAGGGCTGCCTGGGCACCTTGATGGTCGCTGGGTTGGTGATAGCTCCTCCGCAAGTGTGGCCCAGGTCAGCAAGAGCTGAACCCAAGGTCCAGGGAAGCGTGGGTGGCCCCCAGAGTCAGTCTCAGGGTCGGCCTCTGTCCCAGCAAGCCCCTGGCTTTGTGGTTCTTTCTCTCAGGATTCAAAGAAGATAAAGAAAGGTCCCAAAAAAGGTAAGACCCACCAGCAGCCGCCGAGGGCAGGGTGAGGACCGAGGCCTCGGGGCCATCCTGGGTGTAGAGCCACAGGAATGAGGGGACTGAGAATGACTTCCATCCAGCAAGTCCGGGGTCGTCCCGAGAGCCCCTAGTGCGCGGCTGCCAGCCGCAGGCTCTGATGTGCCGAGAAAGGCAAAGGGACCGGAATAAGGGGGGACCGAGTCCTCCTGGCTCTCCACGAACTGAGCTACATCCTCACTGTCTTTCTTTCTTTTTAATTATTTATGTATTTATTTTGTGCGGGGGGGGGGGGGAGGCGTGGCTTGCACGTGGAGGTCAGAGTTGTGGACAAATGGGTCCTGGAGATGGAGCTCAGGTCGTCAGGTTTGGTGGCAAAAAGCACCTAATTTCGTTTGCAACTCAAACAGCTGGGCCTTATTCAATGATCTCGATAGATGCAATTGAACTTACTCTGTTTTTTTTTTAAGCTGAGGACCGAACCCAGGGCCTTGTGCTTGCTAGGCAAGCGCTCTACCGCTGAGCTAAATCCCCAGCCCCTAAACTTATTCTTCATTACGGCTGACATTCTAGGCCTGATCTCTTTCAGAAGCTGAGTTCCTCTAGGTCAGAGAACTGGGCTAGAGTTTCGGGATGAGGGAGGAGCAGGTCCAAGACCGGGGAGACCTGCAGCCTATACAGCCCGCCCTTGGGACTCATCTGCTGGCACGTTTATTCCCTCAGAAAAGTCAAAAACGGCAGTTCCAGCCTTCGAAAGCGTGTACCAGCCGGAGCCCCTGACCGTGGAGGTCCAGATCCAGCTGCAACAGTACCGCTCGGGGGAGGAAGCATTCCTCAGCCTGGTTGACTAGCTGGGGAGAGTAAAGAAAGGCTGCTCTGCGGCCGGAGCTTGGCTGTCTGTGTAGCGGCTGATCTGGGGAAAGGGGCGTGGCGAGGAGCGCTGCAGCGGCTACCAATGCACCGAGGCAACCGCGGACGGAGAGCATGGTGGGGCGGGGCCTCGGGCTCCGCCCCCGCCGGGAACCCCGCCCTTCCACGTGGCCCCGCCCCCTGGCGTCCCGCCCAGAAGAGTCTCGCTATTGCTCCATTTGGAGCCCGCCCCCGCGTATTGCTCCTCCCCCCGGAGCTCCGCCTTCGCCTGGCCCCGCCCCCGAAGCCCCGGGGCCCCGCCCCTGAAGCTCCGCCCAGCAGGGTTACCTAGCGCACACGGTGAGAAGCCGCGCAGGCTCTGCAGGTGCGCGGTCCCCACGGGAGCTTAGGTAGGTCTTGGGTGGGGGCGTGAGGTCACGCGGCCTGCGGCGCCCGGATCCCGTTACCGGGAGGGACGGGGACCGCACCCTGCGGGCGCCTCTGCTGCCCGGCTTTCTGTCGCCCCTCGGTCTCGGGTCTGCTCCCGGCGGTTGCCCGGACGCACCGCGCTGCAGGCGGAAAGAATGGAGCTGACCCGGGCCCTGAGGCTGCCGACATCCCCAGGGCGAGGGCGCGCGGAACCCGGGGCGAGTGGTACGGTGGGAGGATCCGGCCCCGCGGGACGGAGATTCGGACAGGGAAGTGGGCTTTTCGGGGACTTTGGGTGGGTGTGGGGTGCTGCGGCGTGGGAGGGGGCTGCCAGGTCAAGGGAGAAACCAGAGCGCCCCTCGCGAGGTGAGCGGCGCGGACGGCAGCGGACTTGGCACAGCCGCGATCCATTTCGCACACCTGAGATCCTGGAGCAGTTACGGCTCCCCGGGCCCCCACATCTCCGCGAGGTCCAGCCCCGCTTTGCAGCCTAAGAGCTTTCTAGCAGCCTCGGTCCCCTCCCGCCCCCTGGTCTTTCACATCCTGAAACCTAAGCCACAGCAAGAATGACATTAAAACCGTAGGCACATATTTAGTCCTGGGCTCCACCCGCAGGTGTTGCTCCTCCGCCTTGTGGGGCATCCCCAGCTCTCTCTAATGAGCAGTGCTCCAGCCCTCCCCACCCCCCATACGCTCTCCTCATCCTCAGATTGTCTGCGTGGCTCCTGCTCCAGCCCGGAGCTTGGCTGCTCTCAGCCTGTCACTTTTTGCTCCCGGGCTTCAAGCACTTGCTCAAATGTCCCAAGGTCTTGTAACCTTTCCTTCGTCACTTCGTTAGCATTGTCTGGGCTATCTCATGCCTGTCAGGGTGTTCCTAGCTGCTTGGCTAACACTAGGGATGTTAGGAGAGATGCTCTGGACATTTCCAGGGACAACGGGGGCGAGGCTGACCCAGAGAGACGGTTTTGAACAGAAGAATGGGAAAGATGCGGTGATGTGTCTTCAGAGATTTGGCTGCCACACCTGTGACTGGGGACCCCATGTGTAGGTGTGGAGCTGGCTCTGGCTGTGGCTCCACGCTTCAGGGGAAGGAGGCAGACCTGTGTGGGGGCTGGGGGTGTGGCTCAGTTGCGGCATGCCTGCCTCCCAGCACCACATAACCTGCCTATGGTCCCAACACTGTCGAGGTGGGGGCGGGACGGTCAGATGTTTAACATCTGTGGCTAAACACCAGGGTTGAGGTTATTGGGGGCATGGGATCCTGCCTGGGGGTGGGTGGGGGAATCAGAAAACTTATTAGGCAGGGTGCAAGACAAGGCTGGGCCACACCTGGAGGGACAAAAGACAGTAAGGATGGGAAGTAAGGGTGAGCTGTGTTACCGCAGGCTACTCCGGTGAATACCATTCATCTTTGGGTCACTCTAAGACTTCGTGAACCGGAACTCTAGAGAAAAGGGAGGGTGGCATGTAGCCCAAGCTGTAGTTCCTTGGGTGAGACCTGCCCCTTCCCCAACCTCCTCTCAAGCTGTCACTTTGTGCTGTGAACCACCATGGCCTGTTGCCCTGTTAGGAAGTTCCCTCGCCCAAGAGGCCTGGGACTCTGGTGTGTCGGGCTGTATCACCCAGAAACTCAATACAGGACCTGCCAGGGGCCAGGCTCACTCTAGGCTTTGGTTCAACGGTTGTGAATCTGGAAAGCTCAGAACGTTAGGTTTAAGGCTTATAATACATGTGACACAAGACTGAAGCTAATCTATTTTCTCTAAGATTCCGTGTGCTTATTATGTCTCAGCTTTACGACAGCTACAGGCCACGTGGGAGGGAGATGCTGGCTGCCGAGCCCTGCCAAGAGGGCAGCACCTGGAAGGCAGGTGTTTCTCGTCTTTCCTCCAGGGGAGACCTGTGCAAAGTGACTCACGCCCTTGGGGAGGCTTGAGGCGAGCAAGGTCAGGCTAGACTACTCAAAAACGAGACTCTGTTTTGAAAAACCAAGACACAGGTCCCAGAGTCGGGCAAGGACTTAGCTGAGGGGTTGCAGGTAGCTCACTCTGCTCCCCAAACCAGGGCCGTGTGAGCCCCGCTCAGGTGCTCTCTCCTGCAGGGTCTCAACTATGCTGCGCAGGCTGGGCTGTGGGCTGTTCTGCAGCCTTGTGGCATGGCTGCTCTGCTGCCCGCTCTTCCTGAAGGAGCCCACGCCAGCAGGGAGCCCCAAGGCCCACCAGCACTCCAGGGCACTGCCAAGGCCCCGGCATAGCCAGTGCTCACCCAACCCAGCAGCTGCTAAGGCCTCCCTGTCCCTGCCCAGCCGCCACCGCCTCTTCTTAACCTATCGACACTGCCGGAACTTCTCCACCTTGCTGGAGCCTTCCGAGTGTGCCAGGGACACCTTCCTGCTCCTGGTCATCAAGTCACAGCCTGGTCATGTCGAGCAGCGTGCGGCCATTAGAAGCACTTGGGGCCGGGCTGGGAGCTGGGTCAGGGGCCGGCAGGTGAAGCTGGTGTTCCTCCTGGGGGTAGCAGGGCCTGTACCCCCCGCCCAGCTGCTGGCCTATGAGAGCTGGCAGTTCGATGACATCCTGCAGTGGGACTTTGAGGAGGACTTCTTCAACCTGACCCTCAAGGAGCTGCATGTGCAGCGCTGGATGGCGGCCGCCTGCACACAGGCCCACTTCATACTGAAGGGGGACGATGACGTCTTCATCCATGTCCCCAATGTGCTCGAGTTCCTGGAGGGCCGGGATCCCGCCCAGGACCTCTTAGTGGGCGATGTCATCCACCAGGCCCGGCCCAACAGGAACACCAAGGTCAAATACTTCATCCCATTCTCCATGTACAGGGCCCGCCACTACCCACCTTATGCAGGGGGAGGTGGCTATGTTATGTCCCAGGCTACTGCGAGGCGTCTTCACACAGCCATGGAAAAGGCAGAACTCTTCCCCATTGATGATGTCTTTGTGGGGATGTGCCTGCAGAAGCTGGGGGTGAGCCCCACACACCATGCTGGCTTTAAGACATTTGGAATCCAACAGCCCCCGAACTCCTGGGACCCCTGCTTGTACAGAGGACTCCTTCTGGTGCACCGTCTCAGCCCCCTGGAGATGTGGGTCATGTGGGCACTGGTGACAGATGAGGGGCTCAAATGTGCAGCGACCCCCAAGCCCAGCCCTGAGGGGTGGGTTGAGCCACAGCTTTAGCGTGGCTGCTGACTTCCTGTACCAGGAGAAATAGATCAGGTCCCTGCTGGTCCGCAGGAAATGAACTCATTTTTACAATGCCACCAACCTTTCCTGGTTCAAAGTGCTGCAACCCGGCAAACTTGTGGAGCCTGTGCTGAATGGGAGTGGATGCTGCCGGAAGGCCAGGACCCCCACAACTCCCACCACCTAGGCAGTGAAGGAAAGACGCTGCAGGACGGCCACAGAGACTTTTTTTTTTTAATGCAAACATCAAACTTCTCTTCCTTTGGACACAGTGGAGAAACTCGGGAAGGAAGGAGCGAACAAGCAGTGTGTGTGTGTGTGTGTGTGTGTGTGTGTGTGTGTGTGTGTGTGTGTGTGTGTGTTGGAAAAGCCCTGTGGGGAGCACCAGGTGAACACTGTCATGCTGAGAAACTCCCTAGCTGAGCTGTGCTCACAGGGACAAAGGACATTCTAAACATAAATCTTAGAAACCAGACAGGCTCCCTCCTCTGGAGCAAACATTTAAATTATACTTGAAAATCTGAGTAATACTAAAAAACGAGCTAAACAGCGATTGAACTTAAGGGTGTAGCAGAAAAGACCCCTCCTCCTCGGGCCCAGGTTGGTGAACTGCTTTGGGAGTGAGGTAAGATTGGCACGAGAGGTGCTGAGTGGGACAGTGTTGAACGAACCACGTCAAGGGCTAAGAACCAGGCCCACAGAGGCTGAGAGCAGAGGGCCAGCTCACAAAAGGCTTCCGGTCTGCCTGGCGAGGGCCGAGCCTGTTGTCTCCGCAGAGTTGGGGCAACACTAGGTGGGTGCCGTCTCCCGCTTTCCCACTGAGGGGCAGACAGGGGGGTGGGCTCAAGCCCTCAATCTTCACGCAGGTAGGCCTCCTCTTCCTGGTCAGCCCTCTCGTCTACAGCTTCCTGGGTTTTCTGGTGCAACTCCTCGGTCTGCGCCTCAGCCAGCTTGGTTTCGGCTTTCTGGGAGAGCTGGCGCACCTCCTGCACCTGGGACTTCACCAGCTGGATGTGATTCCTGGCTGTTATAGAGGCCTGATCGGCTCCTGTCGAGAAGATGGTGCACTGAGACCACAGAAAGGCAGGGAAGTCAGGCCCAAGCAGCCCTCATGATCTCACCTGCCCTGATGTCCTGCTCTGAGGTCAGGCCTGCATCTTGCTGCTTTTCAAGAGATGACTCAGTGGTCAAGAGAGCTTGCTGCTCCAGAGGACCCAAGACGGGGAGTACCCCACGTTGGGTGGCTCCCAACCACCTGTAACCTGAGCTCCAGGGGAGCTGACGCCCTGTTCTAGGCTCTGTGAGCACCCACATGCATAGACACCCACAGACACACGCACCAAACTGTTAAAACAACTGGGGTCTCCCCATACAGCCCAAGCCAAGTGCTTCTGTCTTCCTCATAAGGTGCACTCTTATACCCAGGTAGGTGCTCCATTTGAACATTATGGGATGTGTGTGTGTGCACGTGCGCGAATGCCCAAATGTGACTTGCAGCTCAGTTTAGCAGTCAGTCAGTCCCATTCACCTGTTAGTTTGGTGCTGTGCTGCCCTCATACAATTACCACGGGCTCGTCAGCACTTCCTGCACATTGGCAGTGTGGGTTTTTTAAGGGTCTCTGGCCTCACTTATGGTTTGGTGATTAGGCTACTCTGGCTAGCCAGGCAAGCCCTCAGGAGAGAAGAGGGACCTCACTCCCAGAACGGTGCGTGTCCTGCAGTGTGTACCATTCCCAGCTTGTTTCTGCATGGGTGCTAGAGATCTGAACCTGGGACCTCACGTCTGCAGAAGCATGTTGGTCACGGAGCCATATCTTCAACCTGGAATTTTAGTTTTGAAGATCTAACTCGTTCCCCCCGAATAACCTGGGCTTGGTGTCCATCTTTGAATGTAATTTCAATTTTCATTATTACTACTTCTATGGATTCCTTAGTTCTTCAACCTATTTTGGATTTATGTAAAGATTTCATATGGTCTTTGGGTGATGTTTAGATTTAACATTTGTCTCTTAGGAGAAAGCAAACACCTGCGTACCTAGATCACGTGGTAGGTTGACATGCTGTCTAGTTCTTAGCTATGGATCTGTTAGATGGCACTAATTTCTTCTGGTTCAAGGTGGAGGATGGTGTGGATGTGGAAGCCAGAGGTCATCTAGTAGAAGCCAGCCAGCTCCCCCACCCCCACCATTTCCCCGTGTAATCCTAGCTGTCCAGGAACTCTGCAGACCAGGCTGGCCTCAAACTCACAGAGACCTGCCTGCCTCTGCCTCCCGAGTGCTACCCCAGTTCTCTTTTTAACACCATTTGGGCCCAGGGACTGAATTCATTGGTCAGGCTTGGTGGCAGGAGCCTTTATTTGCCGAGTTATCTCAACAGCCTGGTTTCTTCATTTCCTGAGGTGCTGTGCAAACAGAAGAACTCAACAGTTTCCAGCTAGATGCACAGCCAGCTCCTGGGGTTCTGACCCTGCATCCGTGTGCGTCAGAGGGCTACAAAGCACGACAGTGTGCTGGGCAAACCCGGGGACTTGAAGCCCGATCCCTAAGCCAAGAGTTACGGAACCTTCCCACATCTTTTGGGCAACAACGATTTCTTCATTCTACATCCCGAGCTCCTCCCCCTCAGAACTGCTGGAGTGATGGCACTCTATCCCTGCAATGACTGGAAGCAGCACCTTGTAAACAGGCAGAGCCACTTCCTCCACGTCTCCTTGCGTTAGGTTCACAGTGATGTTCCTCTATTGGAAAGCATCACCAGTGTGATGCTAGGCCACAGTGCCTCCTTTCCGAGACTAACAACCCAAAACCAGTCCAGATACCCGCTCCCTCCTCAAGTCATCCACCCCTTTCATCCACTTTTGTCTTTCAGACTGTGCCTAGTTACTTATGTTCAAATGTTTTCTTTTGCCTGATTTCTTGGACTTGCTTTTCATAGTTCATGCTTTTATTAATTTATTTAGTAGCTGGCTGTGCCTATAGAGAGTCTTGAGGCTCAAACTCAGGTCATCAGTACCTTCTCTCACCAGCCCCAAAACCCACTTTTTGTCTAATTTACTGAGCTAAAAGTCTGACATTTATTGCTGATACCTACTCCAGCAAAGATAACCTACCATTCATATATTTGAGACATACTGTATAGGCATAACACCCCATGGACTACTTGTATCTGTGGAGGACAGGGTCTCACATAGCCCAGGCTAGCCTCAAACTACTGATCCCCCCAAGTCCACCTCTCAGGTGTTGGTGATTACAGGCATGTATCATGTGTGGAGGTCAAGAGGTCGATACGGGTATGCTCACTAAGTTTTCCATATTATTTTGACAGGGTCTCTCACTGAACCTGATGCCCATTAACTGGTTAGGCTGGCTGGCGAGCTCCAGGGATTCTCTTGTGTCCCTGCCTTCCTCATTCTGGGGTTACAGCTGTGTTCCACCACCCCTGGGATTTTCACTGGGTGCCGGGGACCCAAAGGTCTCCATGCTGTGCTGCAGACACCTGAGGCAGCAGCTTGTCAGCCCCAGGAGCTCCTTCATAAGTCCCCTGTGTGTGACAGACTGGACTTGTTCTCAGGCTCTAAATACTCACACATTTCTATTTATCCCTCCTTTAGCTTGGGACTGTTCTTTAAATAATTCGATTGTCATGTGAGTGGATGCCACATGGTATGAGGTACCCTGGAGGCCGGAAGAGGGTCCTCGGAAGAGCAGCAAGCACTCTTAACCACAGAGCCATCTCTCCTGCCCTAGCTTGAGATTCTGAAGAGTCAGGCTTCTGTTTTTTTGAGGGGTCAAGAAACCCAGCGCCTCTGCTGGGCTTGGTGACACACGCCTTTAATCCTAGCACCCGTCAAATACAAAACTTCAGTCTGCTATCAATGATCTTGCATCTACTCCTCCTGGTTCTAATTCCTCCTTCTAGTACCTTCCAGGAGTATGACACTTCTGAACAGTGAGGCAGAGGCAGGTGATTTCTGAGTTCAAGGCCAGCCTGGTCTATATAGCAAGATCCAGGACAGCCAGGGCTACACAGAAAAACCCTGACTCGGGCGGTGGTGGCGCACGCCTTTAATCCCAGCACTCGGGAGGCAGAGCCAGGCGGATCGCTGTGAGTTCGAGGCCAGCCTGGGCTACCAAGTGAGCTCCAGGAAAGGCGCAAAACTACGCAGAGAAACCCTGTCTCAAAAAAACAAACAAACAAACAAAAAAAAAAAAAAAAAAAAAAAAAAAAAAAAAAAAAAAAAAAAAGAAAAGAAAGAAAGAAAGCCAAGGCATTACCACTGAGCTACACTACACTGTCACCCCAGAAAGCATGTTTACACTTCACAGAGCAGGAATGTAGGAAGTGGGCTGAGGACAATGAGTGACAATTTTCAGGAAGTGAATGACATCAGTGGTACAACAACCAATCTTTCTATGTTCTTAACTGCATTGTGTATTTGCAGGAGGCAGGTCAACACTGTGTGTGTGAGTGTGTGTGTGTGTGTGTGTGTGTGTAAATTGAATATTAGTCTTGGTGGGATGGCTCAGTGGTTAACCACTTGACACCCAAAATCAAGGACCAGGACCAGAGTTCGGATCCCCAGAACCCATGTAAGTGTGGGGTGGGCAGGAAGGCCAGCTGTAATTCCAGTCTTGGAAGACAGATGGGAGAGCCAATCTCCCAGAGCAAACTGGCTTGTGACACTAAGCACATTGGTGAGCTCTAAGCTGACTGAGAGCCCCTGCCTCACCAAGATCTTGAAGATGCAAAGCGCATCTCACCTGTAATCTGTTCTTCAGTTCCCTCTCTGATAGCGCTGTTAGCTTCTATAAGTAGCTGAGTTTTTCTTTTCATAATTTCCACCTTTCTGTGCTATATTGTTTCAGGTGTGTTCTGTTTACAACTTTTTCATACTCATGTGGGAGCACGTGTGTATACCACAGTGTATAGGCCAAGGTCAGAGGACAACTTCTAGGAATCCTCTTTCTACTGTGTGGGTTCCAGAAACTGAACTCAGGTCATTAGTGGTGGCAAGTGCCTTAACCAGCTGAGCCGTCTCGATATCCCTAGAATTATTTTTCTGGCACAGCCTGTTAAGGTTTCTTCGTGTCACCCTGCCTGTCCTGGATCTCGCTCTGTAGCCCAGGCTGGCCTCGAACTCACAGAGATCCACCTGCCTCTGCCTCCCGAGTGCTGTGATTAAAGGCGTGCGCCGCCGCCGCCGCCACCACCACCGCCTGGCTGGTCTGTACTTTCTAATAGACTTTGTCATTTTCTGCCTCAACTCAATCCACCACGTTTTCTGTCCCCTCCTCCCAATTCTTTGTAGTGTGTGAAATCAGTACTATTACTTCTCAAAAAAGCTTTGCGTGCTTTCATTTCCCCACTACCTTTTTTTTTTTTTTTAAAAAAGATTTATTTATTACGTATGAGTGTTCTATCTGCATGTACATCTTTATGCCAGAAGAGGACATCAGACCTCATTACAGATGGTTGTGAGCCACCATGTGGGTGCTGGGAATTGAACTCGGGTTCTCTGGAAGAACAGCCAGTACTCCTAACTGCTGAGTCATCTCTCTAGCCCACTACTTTTTACAGTCAAGCTTTTCCAAGTTTTAGAAAAGTAAGTTTCTGCTTTCAAACTTGACTCATGAGTAGCATTTCCAGAAGTGGAGGCAGGTGGGAAGTCTGTTTAATCAAATACAAAACTTCAGTCTGCTATCAATGATCTTGCATCTACTCCTCCTGGTTCTAATTCCTCCTTCTAGTACCTTCCAGGAGTATGACACTTCTGAACAGACATTTTTCCAGGAGTGCTCCCACAGGGAGTGTGGGGACCCTGGGAGGCGCCTGATGCAGTGCTCGGCACTTTCTCGGGAGCTGCCCACATCTGGTGAGCCACTCACTCCCATAATGCCTGCTCTCACGCTCCCCTTCTCAAGTTTCAGTTCTTCCCCAGCAGAGCAGAAAATACGATTATGCAGCACCGACTTTCCAAACAACCTGCCGGGAATGGTGGCTCATGCCTATAACCCTAGCACTCAGGAGGCTGAGGCAGGAGGATCATTGCAGCCTTAAGGCTGGCTTGGGATGCAGAGTGAGACTCGGTCTCAACATTTCCCTCAAAATAAAATCACCCCACTACTTAAAAAAATATCGATATTAGGACTTAATGCTATAAGCCTCAATCTGATATCCTGCTAGGAGAAAAAGTACACATCTGGTTTGGGACTGGGTCAGATTAGATGTTGAACATTTAATCTTTTCTCGTAGGTCCACTGGATAGACACCAACAGTCAAATCTCACCTTGGTACAGAAAGGAAAAACAGCTACGTTTTTTATGTAGGGCATTAGTAAGAAAACAGCTCCGGCCCCGAGCTCCAGGGTTCCCCATTTCCAGGATGTTAATTTGTGTTTTTTTTTTTTTTCCTGAGACAAGTCTTACTATGTATCCCAGGCTAGTTTCAGATTCACAGACATCCTCCTGCCTCAGCCTCCCAAGTGCTAGGGTTATAGGCATGAGCCACCATATCCAGCTCTTAACCATATCCATATCCAGCATACAGGAAAAACAAAGGCTCAGTTTCAGTCTGGTCACTCCTAACTGGCCTGGGAGTCACAATTCTAGCTCCATGTGTATGAAGTGCCGCCCCTGAGCCTGCGCAGACATGCTTCATGTCTGCGGTCTCATTATTTAAAGGTCCATACGCACTTATGACGTACACACCTCTGGACAGCGGCGGCTTTACTAGTTACTCTTCTAGACACTCGCAGCCCGACACCCACGAATGCAAATAAAATGTTAAAGCTTGACGTGGCAGCCACTGGGGAGGGCGAGACCAGCCTGTTCTACATATAGTGAGTTTGAGGCGAGCCAAGGATATATAACAAGACCATGTTTCAAAACATAGAAATGGGGAAAACCTCCAAACCAGTGGTTCTCAACCCCTTTGGGGGGGGAAGCACACATATCAGAAATCCTGAATATCAAATATTTACATTACGATTCATAACAGTAGCAAATTAAATTTATGAAGTAGCAACAAAAAATTTATGTTTGGGGGTTACCATGACATGAAGCACTGAGTTCAAGGGTTGAGAACCACTGCTCTAAAAGAATCATCCATCAGTCTAATCTAAAGTCCTCATTTAACAACTAAACTCAAAGTAAAAAGCACACAAAGAACCCAGCCTTTACCTACCAGTTTGATAGGCAGCCTCCGCGGCCATCTCTGAAAGGCCTACTGCAGTCATCCAAGTGGTTTCCAGCTTCAAGTATTCCTGCTGTTTTGAAGTCATCTGTAAGTTCAGAAAAGAGCTCCAGAGACCATGAAGGGGTTAACACAGTTACTCTCAGGGTAACAGTTCAGACGCCACAGTGAAGACCGTTACATGGAAATGACTGACACGTGTGTGTGTGCTCACCTCGACTCTGGCTCCTATAATCACCTGCCACACTTCATCTTCCTCCTGGGAATTCATTTTCCCAAGTAAACTTGTATACTGTCGATACAGAGATGCTAACGTATAAACAGCCTACGAACACAGAATAAATGAGTGTGTAATTAAGTGAGGCACACTGGAAGGATTAGTGACAGTCACACCTTCAGAAAACAAAGTCCTGGGGTGGTAGTGCATACATGTGATCTCAGCACTCAGGATATGGCCAGGAGGACTGCAAATTCAAGGCCAGCCTGAGCTACATATTGAGACTGTCTCAAGCATATAAGGATTGGGGTGGAGAGATGGCTCAGTGGTTAAGAGCACTGGCTGCTCTTCCAGAGGTCCTGAGTTCAATTCCCAGCACCGACACAGCAGCTCACAACTGTCTGTAACTCCAGTTCTAGGGGATCACACCCTCGCAAAGACACACATATAGGCCTAACACCAATACACATTAAAAAAAAAATCTTTTGTCCACTAGGCTGTGGGGATCTCGTTCCTCCTCAGTCAGGGATAGAGGCCAAGATCAGCCCTTGAGTGTCATGGATTACAGTCCTCAGAACTGCCAGTGGGCAGCCCTGTTTTCCTGCCTCAGACATTCAAATCAGAGGGAGGAGGGGGAGGCTGACTCTGTTACAAGCTCTTGCAGAGTTCCGTTTCCAGAGTGCAGGACATATGGACAGCTCATAACTAACCACCTATGATTCCAGCTCAAGAAGGCCCACCCCCGCCTCCCTGGGCACCTCCCTGGGCCTGCACTCCAACACATGCACATAAATAAAAACCCCATTACGGTCAACTGGCTCTTCATCCATGTGCCTCACTGAGCTGTACCAGTGCAAGAGGCAGAGGCATCGTCCGGGACATCAGTTACATATGTTGTATTGTTTTTGAGACAGGCTCTCACTATGTCAACTAGGCCTGCCTAAAATTCAGAGATCTACCTGCCTCTGCCTCCTGAGTGCTAGGGTCACACACAAGCCTGCCTTTTAAAATTTTCATTAGCAACAGAATCTCTGAATTTGAGGCCAGCCTGATCAACATAGTAAGTTCCAGAGCTATACTGTGAACTCTGTCACCAAAAAAAACTAAAACTTTCCGGGCAGTGGTGGTGGTGCACGCCTTTAATCCCAGCACTCGGGAGGCGAGGCAGATGGAGCTGTGAGTTGGAGGCCAGCCTGGGCTCCAGAGTGAGTTCCAGGACAGCCAGGGCTACACAGAGAAACCCTGCCTTGAAACCAAACAACGTAAGTGTTGCTGGCAGTCCAGGCAGATGCAGAGAGAAAGAAACGAGAGGTGACTTGAAGACTGTCCTGCTTAATGTGCTTCTGCCCAAGATGGTTCCCAGACAATCCTCCTCCAGAGCAGCTAGGGCTGGAGACAGGGACCGCTGCTTGCTGCCTGCTGGGAGGTGACTGTATGTATCATGGACCTCTTTGAACCCTAGTGAACCAGATGAGCTATTTTAGGTACTAGGCTATCTGCCTTGACCTTCATCCTCCTGCCTCTACCTCCCCAGTGCTGGATCATGTGTGTGCACCACCACGTTGTTGCGAATAAACCCAAGGCAAGCACTCCAAATGAGCCACCACAAAAACCCAGCCTCAGCAACATCTTTTTTAAAAGTTGAGGCTCAAGAGCCTTATGACCTCTGCTAAAGCTACTTAAACCTAAGGCTTGCTGAGTTCCAATAAATTACAAACGCAGCAGCTATCCGACTAAGTATGGTTGTGAGCATAGTTTGCAAACTGCTGGTTCAGCAGCTCAGTGCTCCAGAGGGAGTGAGGAGTACAGCTCTGGCACCATAAACCTTGGGTTCCACCTCTTCACACTGAAAAACAAAACCAAAACTGCACAAAAGGAACCGTACTGGGCTGGAGAGATGGCCCAGCGGTTAAGAGCACTGGCTGCTCTTCCAGAGGACCCGGGTTCAATTCCCAGCACCCACATGGCAGCTCACAACTGTCTGTAACTCCAGTTCCAGAGCATCTGACATCCTCACACCAATGCACATAAAATAAGGTTAAATAAACTATTTTTTAAAAAGATGAGCCGTACCTTCGTATACTCGGTGATTGCTTCGATGAGAGCGTACGTGGTTTGGGACAGAAAGGTGGAGGTGCTATCGGTCACCAAAGACACAGCCCTCCTCATTAGTGCTTCGTTACTAAGAGAGTGAGGCTCCGATTTCTGAAAGACAAACAGATGATTTCCAACCTGAATAAAGCTTAAGATGAGGACTCGATGGTCTCAGATCCCCCCGCGCTTCATGTGTATGAACCTACAGCAGCACACTTCTTTGGGGTAACTTTTCAGGCTTTCATTTGGGACATCATCTCAGGGGGAGGTTTCTCTCCACTCTCACTCACCTAGAAAACGGAGTGTCAAGGGAGCTGTGGCCGGAGTCACACAGAAAACTACCAAGCCCGTGTTGAGGTATCATTAGCAGGAAGACCTCAGAGATCCGATGTGAACTGCACGGAGTCTGACCGTGAATGGGTGGACGTGGGAAGAGAACCTGAGAAGACTGAGTAGAATGCTTGGGGGTAGGGACGAGCTCTTCACTATAACCTCAGCTCTTACACTGAGAAACAAAAATCACTAGAACCCTACATCAGAGTGATGGGATTTGGCCACGCAAACTAAAAAACCCGTGGCGCATAAGCTAAATAACCTTTCTTCCTCCTCGACAGAGACCTTGCTGTCTCAAAACCAACTGCTCTGTCATCTACTTACTGTCTTGGTTTTGCTGCGTGGAGTGTAAAACCCTAGAATAACTGTTAAAAGCAGCATGACTATGAAAGTTTTTTTTAATACGTGACTAAATCAAGGATTTCATCATATCTACATTTCATACATACCTCAAACTGAAGAGTACACAGATGGACAACTCTGCTCATAAGGGAAATGTTGAGATAGCACCTTGAAAACCTGAGTGTAACATGCTAACTTGACAATGCGTTTTCACTCATTTCCGGTGTGGGCCCCACTACTTTTTACAGATGATGGAATCCACACACAGAACAGCCAGGTAACCTTCCCTAGAAATCACATCCCTAGTTAAACCTCAAAGCAGACTTTCTCCGAAACCTGTGAACAAAACTGAGGAAGGGTCTAAAGGGACGGACTTGGCACTGGAGGAGCTAAGACTCTGAGGTCCTTGGAAGGAAGGGACTGAAAGGCCGGTGGGCACAGAGAAAGGAGACTGGTTAGGGCCCCGGGGTGCAGGCAGAACTGGATACAGCCTGGCTCTGTCCGCAGCATGTAATGGAGTCGTGGGAGCTTGGAAGAGCAGAGGCTGCTGCAGGAGCGTGACTGCAGAGCTCTAGTCCTGTGGCCCAGAACTGATGAGTACCCAGGATGCAGAGAAGAGGGCAAACCCCACAACTCTCAGAGAAAAACAGAGAACACTGGGGGCTCAGCTGCTAAGAAGGCACTCGGCTGCTGTTCACCCCCAGAGCCAACCCCTGCAGCTGTCCTGATGGTCACCCACCACACAAAATAAATGTCACTTTAAGAGGGCTGTCTTGTCAGTTCAAGTGGACACTTTAGAGCTGAGGTTCATGCAGATGACAGCTGAAATGAGACAGATGGGGTGTTAACTAGCCTCAGGTGTTAAAAGTACTTGCAGTAAATGGATACGAAAGTATCAGGACTGTTTTGCTGAAGTGAGCTTGCTGGTTTCTTATCTAGCTCTTTTCTAAAGCACATAACCAGTGATTTAAAAAACAAAACACCGTTTTCCTTCCAGCTGCTCACTATAGCTCCACTGGGCTCTCACTGACATGCTCTAACTTTCTTCCTATGGAGACCCACTCCTCTGTCCCAGCAAATGACAATTCTCCCTCACTCCTCTGCTGCCCGCTAGTCTGACCATCTCTCATCTAGACTGTAACCGTAGCCCTTTAGTCGCCTTAGATAAATGACTTTAAAACCTATACAAGATCATCATAGTCCAAGAACAAACCCTTCGTGGCCCGTTGAGAATAAAACCTAAAGCCTCACAATGATGCACAAAAATCAAATCCTGGTATCTGACCCCTGGTTACCTCTGTGACCACACCCATTAAACAAACAATTCCTCGGTCCACTCGGCCCACCTGGCTTTGCTGTACACCACACAAAATTCAGCTTCAGGCTTTTACCCATAATCCTCCGCTGCAGGCTTCTCCCTTACTTAGGTCTTTACCATGGTGCAGTCTCACATCACCCAGAGTAGCTTTCTCAAATCACCCTTCACGAAGGGGTCCCATCCCTCTGCACCCTAGTTCCTTCAGATTACATCACCAGCTGACTTTTCTTTCTTTTGGTTTTTCGAGACAGGGTTTCTCTGTGTAGCCTTGGCTGTCCTGGACCAGGCTGGCCTCAAACTCAGATTTGCCTGCCTCTGCCTCTAAAGGCATGTGCCACCACTGTCAAGTTTTTTTTGTGTGTGTGTTTTTTGTTTTCTTTTTTGAGACATCTCAAGATGTAACTAACACAAGCTAACCTCAAGGTTAGGCTTTTCCTGCCTTAGCCTCCCCAGTGTTAGGATTACAGGAATGTACCACCACACTCAACTTACATTTGCTTGTTTTCTACCCAGAACCTCTTACCTCCCCAGTGTATGGCACAGAAACATTGTTCAGTGAAGTTCTGCTCAGTGACAGACTTCTGCTGACAGACTATCATTCTCTTTTATCTCAATCTGTCCTTTATGCATCTTCAAGTGCTGTTTACCCCCAGTACTGACTAGGTGACTGGAACTTGGTTCCTGGCTAACTGTCTGGCCTCACCTATTAACCAGTTCCTCATTTCACTACTAACCTATCCTCCCACTCCTACTCTTGAAGACAGGATGCCTATACACGTCCTCAAGTAAGTTAGCCTAAACTGGTGGGTGGGATTTAAGACGGTTGCCGAGGAGAGTCAGTGGATGCACCCTCCAGTGCCAGGACAGTTGACGATTACCTTAGTGAAAACTAAACCATTTTAAAAAAATGGCGGGGGCTGGAGAGGTGGCTCAGAGGTTAAGAGCACTGGCTGCTCTTCCGGAGGTCCTGAGTTCAATTCCCAGCAACCACATGGTGGCTCACAACCATCCGTAATGAGATCTGGTGCCCTTTTCTGGCCTGCAGTCATGCATGCTGTGTACATGGTGAGTAAATAAATCTTTAAAAAAAAAAAAAAGGCATATGAATTCCCAGGAAACAGCCACCCATTCTCAGAAAAACAGGATTACTCCTCCCCTGTTTTAGCCTACCACCCCACTTCTTAATTCTTTTGAAATATATTTTTAACCTCTGGAGCTTGGGAAGCTCATTTGCAGTTTATCTTCGACTTCTGTGTTTGGTACAAGGATAAAGGTCTACTTCCCAATTCAACTGATGCTCAGATTTTCACTGGTTCCTCAATTCGGGGTGGTGGAGTAGGGGCAGGAAGTGGAAACAGTACTGTTCCTACAACATCATGATGCAGTGAAATCGGGAAATCTGCTCAACTCTGAGAAGATGCCAGTATAGCGCAGTGCACACAGCATCATGGGAAGCCGCACTTGTCAAACTATGGCAGCTTCACTAAAATGGGAAAGAGTCACGTGCCCGTCCCATACCTGAGCAATAGGAACTGCACACAGGGTCATGCCGAATCCAGCCAACATAGTTTTGTGCCACGGTCTTATCAATTCTGAGAAACAGCGTCTCTTAGAGTTAGCCACGACGGGAGCTCGCTGTCCATACCTGGAAACATTAAGTCAAAATTTTAAAAGCACAAGTCAATCTGTAAAAGGCTCTTGGGTGTGCAGGAGCTGGACCAAGCAGGAAACTAAATGAGGAAGTAGCAGCGGTCTTCCAAAAATAAATAAATAAACCATAGGGTGGCCTGTTAAATCCCAGAAACCGACAGAGGTGGTGGCAAGCCTTTAAAAATCTCAGCACTCAGGAGTCGGAGGCAAGCGATTTGAGTTCCAGGCCAGCAAGCGCTGCAACAGGCCAATGCGCGTGGGCGCTTTCCACTAGGTGGAGAAGTTTAAAAGTTGCCTCGGAGCCGCTGAGCGACCTGACGCCGGGATAAAACTCTCCGGCCCGCAGGATCTGGCTCTGGACCCCGGGCCCCGGCTCCAGGTGTCTCCAATGGTCCCTGCTAGCAAAGCCCGGGAGCCGGCAGCCGGAGGGCGCCGCTGGCACCGATCGGGTGCCCGAGTCTCCCGGGACGTGGGCTAAGCCGGCGCTGCCAGCCCAGGCCTGCAGCCAACGCCGTGACCCGTCTGTCCCTCGGTGTCCCGGGGCCACTCGGAGCTGCCTGGAGGCTCAACGGCCCCAGAGAGGCAGCCGGGCTTGGAGGACCCGCTTTCGGGAGCCCGGGATGGAGGACGGGCGACGGAGGGGGTGCCCCCCTCAAAGTTCGGAGGGAGGCGGGACGCGGCGGCCCGCGGCCTGGGGCCGACGCGCTGGCTGGCGCTGCGGGGCCCGGCTCCTCCCCGCCGCTTCCCGCCCTCGGCCGCCGCTGCCGTACCTGAACAGGGAGGCGATGCTCCGGCACGTCCAACTCCTCAGAGCCGCCATCCCGCGGCGGACCGACGCCGGACGCACACGCCGGAAGTGACGCAGCATAGCGGGCAGCGGGGCGAGCGCGGCCGGCTCCAGGGAGCCCGGGGCTTCGTGGCCACGCCCCCTCCGGAGGACGCAGTGGTGATTGGACGGGCGGGAGGGGCGGGGCGGGAACGCTGCGGAAACGGCTCTAACGGTCGCACCTGGCGTTCAACCGCTCGGACTCGGGCGCGGAACGCGGCGGGCGCCGGGGCTGGGAGGCTGCGGAGCGGGGGTCGCGGCCCCCGGAACGCGGGCGGTGTGGGCTGGGATCGGGGCGGGGCGGGGCGGGGCCGCGCCTGGAGAGGGGAAGGGGCTCAGCCTAGGGGAGGTGCTGGGTGGCGGCGGGGCGGGGCGGGGCGGGGCGGGGCGAGCCTGGGCCCGGGCGCTGTCACTTCAGCACCAGGAAGTAGGTGGTCCAGCCGGCCAGCAGCAGCGCCCCGATGAGCACCGTGTAGCTGAGGAGCACGAAGGCCAGCAGCTCCCGCAGCAGCTGCAGCACGTGGACGGTGGACCAGGACGGCATCGCCCTGCAGAGACGTGGATCCTGAGCACGCGCAGGGTGCATGCGGCGGCGGGACAGCACCCTCCCAAGGCCAAGGAAACCCAAAGTGCTGTTCGGAACTTTTTTAAAAAAAAAAAAAAAAAAAAAGCAAGTGCCTTCTAAAGCAGTAGTTGCCCGCACACTCTCTCACTGGCGTCTGAGCTCCAAAAGGGGAAAGAGCCTGGCCTTTCTCAGTCCCGACTTTGCATTAGACTCCAAACAGGCCCTCTCTTGCTACCATCTCTTGCATTTTTAATGCAGTTGGTGCCGCTAATGGGCTGGTGGAGGACAGCTTTATTTTTGCTTCCCTCAAGCTGCAGCCCTGTCTGTGGGCCTGCCTTGGCGTGGAGGAGAAGCAGCAGGCCATTGCTTATTTCCTCCGTCATTTTCCTGACCCCAGGATTGTCGATGGTAGACTTTGAGGGTGTGTGTGTGTGTGTGTGTGTGTGTGTGTGTGTGTGTGTGCATGCTTGCCTTACAGCCTGTCAGGATTAAAACTGAAGGGTGCCAAATGATAGGTACCAATCTGATCTTGGGCTCACATCCTTCCCGATACATGCTTTACGCACCCCATCCTTGCAAATTTCACCTCAGATGCCAAGAGTCACAACCCAGCTCATCTCCACTGCTGCCTTGCCTGGCAGAGCCCCTCAAAGCTAGCCTCTAGCTTCCCACTCTTCCCCGTTTACTCACTCGGTTAAGTTTCCACGACTCCGCCACAGCTTCCACAGCTTCCCTCTGGTCTGGCGAGGGTAGGCTTGTGCACACTCCAGCGATCTGGGCAGGGCTGAGAGGTCTTCAGGCGGCAGAAGGCACTCAACAACTAGGTGTGGTCTATCGACCAATTACAACCTCCGTGTGGTTTCCAAGCTCCCGGGGAGCTGCGCACAGGCGATCCCAGGCCAGGTGGGGCACTGGCAACCCTGCCCGCCCTCGGCCTGTGTCGCCTCCACGGTCTACAGGATGAGGCATCAGCGGTTTTCAAGGCTCCTGACTTAGATGGGCTGCGCAGGGGGTACACAAGCCCCTTCTTGTCTTGTCTGTCTAAACGCCCCAGCTGGGCTGTCCTTCCAGTGTGTCTAAAACTGAGAGCAGCCCTGTCAGGAGACTGGGACCGGGCAGACAACTGTCTTACTAACGGGAAAGCTGCTGTCTGAAGAAAGGCGAGTGTGAACATGCACTCGTGTATGTGAGAACCACAGATGAGAGCCCCAGAGTGCATGATCCTAATTTACAGAGTTTAGCAGTTTGCAAACTCATTACCCAGTGTAGCCACTTCCAAGTTCAACTACAGAAGGGAGGCAACCAAGGGAGCCGGCGGGGAAAGCACACTTTCCCGTTCCCCGATGTAAGAACGAGGGAAAAGCAAGCACAAATACGCAGCTTACTCCTCTGCCTATACTGGATTATGAAGACTGTGTTTTGACCTTTGGAAAAGCAGGCAGTGTGGACATCAAGCCTTTCATAACATCATCATCCAGAAGCAAATGGCCCCTTAATTTAATCAGGATCTCTTATTATCAAATCATTGCCTCGGTGAAGCCTGCCCGAAAACAGGGGCAGAACGTCAACACGTGGCTCAGGAAGCCAGGGAGTGGTAATTGCTCCCCCAGAGGACTGGACATCTGAAGGGCTCCCATGCCCTGCCTCAGCACAAGATGGGACGGATGGCGGCGATACATACCATCACCTAGACCAGAGTGACAGATGAGAGGCCAAGCTGTTCGAAATACACCTCCCTTGCCTCCTCACTCATCCTTCAAGTGGATGCCTCAAGGCAGTTATGTGGTTTATACTCTGTACCATCTACAAACCTGCCAAATTGGGGTGTTTTATAACAACAGAGCAACCACAGCTCAGAAATACTACAGGGGGATGGCAAGCTGGCTCAGCAGGTGAAGGAGCTTGCCACCAGCCCTGACTACCCGAATTCGATCCCCAGGACCCACATGGTGGAAGGACAGCCAGCGTCTTGAAAGCTGTCCCCTGATTTCTGCGAGTGTGAATGTATACACACACACACACACACACACAAACTATAATAAAGAACTACAACATGGAATAAAATTCACATTAATCCACTTATAAATAAGGAGAAATTTTACATACTGTCTTTTCCTTCTACCGCCTGACAAGGCACCTCTGTCATCCTATGACTAAATTCAGATGCTAAAAGTACCCCGACAACCTAGAGATAACTCTATTCTGCGTTCCTGTGCTTGGCTATCTTTTATCATGGCCCCTCTTCCCCTCGGCTTCAGATACGTAGTTCAATTTGCTGTTTAAAAATTTCCTCGGCCAGAAGGACTGAATTCAAGGCCAGCCTGGGCTACAGAGGGAGACCTTGTCTCAACAACAGAAGTATGGTTGCTTGAATTTAACTCCTCAGACCACAAACATTTCCCCCTAGGGTCAAGCCACGGGGCCTTTTTCTTTTTCTCTATGTGGTTCTGAGGATTAAACCCAGGGCCGTATGTGTACTCAGCAGCACTCTATTACCTGTTAAACGAATTCCCCTGCCTCCCCCCACACACAGTTGGGGTTTTTTCTTTCTTTTTTTTTTTTTTGAGACAGTGTCTCAATGTATAACCCAGCTGGCCTTGAACTCTCAATCCCTCTGCCTCAGCCTGCTGATGCTCACAGAACAGGTGTGCCACTGTGTCCAGTCTAGCTAACCTTTTATGTGTAACTGAGAACAAGGCGGACCAGCATGCAATGACCAATCCTACCCCGACTCTAGTGCACGCAGAGCAGGAATGGACTAGAGCTCATGAGGAGGCCTTCGGGTTCTTAGGAAGCGTCCCATTTCAAGCTTCCCTCCCTTGACCATTCTCTCTTGCTCTACAATCCATTCAGTTAAAGCACTTTGGGTCTAGGTTTAAGGCAACAGAAGACGTGTAATTAATAGTGTCTGTGTAGATGTCTTTAATCAGGGTGGCCGGTGCAGCGAAATGGTCCATCTAACCGACTCAACCAAAGTGCAGACATGGTGTAAACCACCCCCCGTCTCTAGGAATCAATGTTCCGTCCCCACACCCCTTTTCAGCTAGAGCACACTCTTAGAGACACAGAGCTTTGAGTGCTAAATGAACTGACATCCAAGGGCACAATATATGACTACCACCACTTTCTATTTGTATACAAAGGAAGCAAGTGTGTGGTTTTAAAAAAGTCTTCTGCTGAGGATGTGTTTGGAGCTGACCTTGCTATGCTCTGAGCAGGCAAATATAGACTCAGAAACAAATGCAGACGCATGGGATTACAGCCGGGTATCTGGTCTCTGGACAAACGCCCCAGCCAAGCAGGCTTGACCAGACTTGAAGCGAATCCCGGGAGTGGAAAACAGTGAGGACAAGGCATTCCCTGGCAGCTGAGACAAGCCCTACTGGGGCTCAATGGTAAAACCAACTCCCTAGGAAAACAAGAGCCTGAAAGAGTGTTCTGAGCCAGGGATGTTTCCCGTTTGGAAATCACCCACCCGCCACCACTCCAGATATTGAGTATCAAGGCTAAATTAATTCCATGAGAAACAAACATTATCTTTGCCACCCTTTATTCCTGTTTTTTGTTTGTTTGTTTGAAGATTTATTTATTATGTATACAATGTTCTGTCTGCAGGCCAGAAGAGGGCACCAGATCTCATTATAGATGGTTGTGAGCCACCATGTGGTTGCTGAGAACTCAGGACCCCTGGAAAAGCAGTCAGTGCTCTTAACCTCTGAGCCATCTCTCCAGGCCCCATTCCTGTTTTTTTTTTTTTTTTTTTGTTTTGTTTTAATATGCTTTCTTTCACTTATAATGTGCAGTGTATTGTTCTTAATTCTGACATGAAGAAAATGAGAAAAAAACTGTGGTTAGTAATTGACCATAGAAACCACACCTGGGTTGGGACCTGGGCAATGTTGAGACAGGCTAATTTTCCTGAAGACTTGAATGATGACAGAAAAGCCATCAACGGGGTCCCATGCTTGGTGCCCTTCACTGCTCCAGCTGCTGAGATGAGGAGGTGGGTGGAAACACACATGAACTCCCAGCTCCACCAACATGCCTGCTCTCAGCCGTGGCTCACTCCCACAGCAGTGGTGGCACCTGCCACTGCTGGACTAAGACTGACCTCAGTGGCTGCGGTCACCACACCAGGAGCTGAGCAGCTGAGTATTTTCAAGCAAGGGGGATGTGTGAACTTGAGTAGAGCCAGAGTGCTAGAGAGGTGCATATGGCAGTTACCACGGTGACAGAGTGTCATGAAGAAACTGAAAAGCTGCCACTACTCACAATAGGAGGATCAGCTGGATGCTGGGGTCACAAGGGACACTGGAGAAAACTGAAGCCCCTGCAGCGGCATCTACACTGGCCTGTCTTGGAGATAACACATGCACTCAGAAGTGCTTTAGGACGGCTAATTCGCAGAAGCTGCCCGGTAATCAGCTCGATCTTCAGCAGAGAGTCCTTCACAGGCAGGGAACCTGCACAGACGCAGCTAAATCAGAGAGCGCAGGAACTTCTTACATCAGGAAGTCCTCCAAGC